CTATTGAAAACCCCATGTTTACCCCATGGATTTGGCTGCAAAACCTCCATGTTACAAATACATCTGAGAATCAGCTCTTCCAAATCATTCACCGGAAATGCGACTTGAATGTTGTTAGAAAATAATAAGTCACATATGTGATCAACTTTATGGATCAGCGGTACGTTTGTAAACAAATACCCAACGTCAAAAGACAACATAATTTTGCTGAGAACATTAGGGTTTTTTAGTTTTTCTATAAAGCTAAACGTATCCTTCAGACTGTGTAGATATCCTTCGGCGTACTGATTCTAAGAGTTCTACAATCCATTGAGCGATAGCAGGATATGGAGAAGCAGACATAAAAATTATGGATCATATCGGAACGTTTGGTTTACGCAGTTAAGGTAATCCATAAATCCGTGACATTGAGGGTCCAGTCGGGACCATCTTTTTGAAAACCGCTATATGACCTTCTATCTTGGACGGTAACAAAATTTGTTTGCTATGTCGTGTCTTTCTCACGTGGTTTGGCGAAAAAATTGCAAAAATTGGCAATGAGCTATTTCGAATAATAACTAACCGGTCCCTTTATCCGGACGAGAAATTATAATATTGGTGTTTGCAGTTAGACGTTGATTTGAGTCGATGTACTTTGTAGTCACACTAGTTATTTTCTGGGTTTGTGTGTAGTGATAATGGTAACAACAGTGCACAAGAGATGTCTTGGGTTGATCAAATAGATGAACATGATTAGGTGTGACACTGCTGAGTTAGCGCATGAGGCTTTCAAGCTGTGTCTCTATCTCTATCTGGTGAAATTTCGGCACAAAGGTACAGCATTTAGAACCAAACGACAAAACTTCGTACTCTAACTTATTGAACTGCAGAGGTGAAAAGCTGTGTACGTACCTATCCTGATCATTCGGGAATCGCGAGTTGCTCAGCTAGAGGCTGTTTAAGATTTTGCGATACTTTAGTTCAGTGGATTAGGCTGTTATGCCCAGCAAATACTCCTGGAAGCGAGATTGGCATTCCGCTGAGAGTTAATCGGACAAAAAGAAATTACTAGGTCTACAATCAGTTCATTTTGGTCGTCTTCTTTTGAACAGCAGTAATCGGGTTCATAGCATATCGCATCAGGTTTCTGGATTTTGATGGAATATGAAAACTTCCCCGGTACCTCCAATAGGCTTTGTATAACGGTTCAAATCAATCATTTCCGGGATAAATCAAACAGTTGTCTCCGCCTCGGCTGACTTGGCTTACAACTTCAACAATTCCATGACTCCAGCATTGGTTAACCTTGTTCCATTCAGTTGCAGTTCTTACTCGTTTCAAAAATTCTTATAAACTGAGCCGTAAACGGCCAATCTGTACCAAGATTGCCTTATATACGTGACCGCCTGGTGCGAAACATCGGAAAGAAATTTGTTCGCAAACTTTTTATCTACATCGTCTATGGGAATATTCTATGAGTCATAGAATGATCTGCCAAAAGTGCGGTAAACCCGGCAAGTAAGAGGCAGGTCTCAAGGAGCTGAGTATCAGTGTGCAATGATTGAGAAAACTAGACGGATCAACCGTTTCACTTTGTCTGTGTACGCACTATATTGACGACTGAAAATGCGGATCTAGTAATGGAAGTCTACCTGATTCTTCTGAAACACTAACATGCACAATCCATAGCGGCCCAGTGTTCTAATTAGAACACTATGTTTGAAAGAGCAAATCAGTCAAGCCTTTTTCGGTGGTATTTCAGTTTAGGATGCTGTCTGGTCTCATTTTCCTCAACGCAGTTTTCACGTTGTTACAATATATGTCTTACTAATTCGCTGTACAATCAAAACTGTCCAGTCATGTGTTCAATAGTTGACAATTCTCAGCAAACACCAAGGTTAACTCCCACCGCAAACAAATTGAAATTTTCTCTTCTGCCATTTTGATCCCCCGCAGAACCATATTTGAGGGAAAAATCTTTCAAAGATGTTCATGTGATCTTTCCCCTCAAGGAAATCTATTACGAAAAGAGCGAATACACAATGAAGTGCAAACGAGAGATTCCAAACAGGCTTCTCGCCGGAAATGATGTGACATCAATGTAGCTCGCCCTTTCACAATGATTTACTGTGTAAAGTGTAATGAGGATAAATTCCTGTTGAGACCACCAAGTGTTATTTTATCCGTTGGAAAGCAATACAATCAAAAGAACTCATATGAAAAGGTGGATGAGCTATTTTATAGGAGTTCTCTATCATATTAGAAGAGTAAGCAATATCTGTCTACGGCTTATCGACAAGCTCAGCAAGAATTGCTCCAGCGTTCTCACATACCGTTTTGATTATCTTGTACATTGTATCTCCAGGGAACCACTGAGCGCTCATGTCCGATATAGTTAAATCACGCACCATGGTTACACCGAACCGATATCATGAGGTGGCTAGTGATCAGAAAACTTGTATCTAAATTTATTCACTAATACCTCATCGAATATCCATATTTGAAATTCATCGGGCAAGTAAATCACTAATTGGTCATTCATCCGAGTTGTTTAGTGCTATCAACACTCAACAGCTAACTCTTGATCAGTATCAATACGTAGCCGATATTTTTAAAACAAATCACCCGCCTAGGAATGAGTATCTGGTGGAACACATGTGAACGAATCCTTTAATGCACGGATGACTGAATAAAAATCTCGTTTGATCCCGGTTCATCGACTATATGACAACTTCTGCTTTGTCAAACCACTCTGTCTCCGCGTGCTACAAATTAGCGCGGCGTACTTGAAGGACAAAGTAGATAAATTAGTCGGTATTGGCGCCTTTTAAGGAGCCTGTTTGAATATGTCTGCCTAAGGATTTCTTTTATTCACGTTTAACGTTTCCACTCCGATCCACCCCACTTGTCACAGTTCCTGACCCACCCATCTCATCCCTTTCATACATCCGGAGTAATTCGTTTGTTGTTGGCTCCCAGATTNACAACAAGAGCAGTAGGAACAACCACAACACGTTACGGAGCGTGGTGTAGTTCACGGCCCAATGCGTGACTGTTCCTGTTCTGCACGATTCCACTTCCACCTAATCGCATTTATACGCCTGAAAAACGGCGTTATATTTCTGCCCGTCTCATGCTTTTCTCTCCTGAACGGTCCACTCTACACATCTCACTGTCCGCATTCTGAGCACTAGCCGGTGGCCTAACCACACCTGTTCCCCTGTTGTGCACAACTGGCTTGTCGCATTTTTGTGCGCATACCAAACAAGGCAGAATTTCCATTCCTCCTTTCTCTCTCTCTTCATTCATGATAACTATAAATTATTTATGCAGCAATTTGCCACTGACCAAAAAACAGAATATACACGGAAGCACACTAAACGGTTTACACGAAATTGTCTCAACCCAAACTTCTCGCCCCTCCAATCTCAAAGGTTATAACTGTGCAGATTTTTATCCCGATTGTTCACTCATTGATTCTGCGTCTTGTTGTTTAGCAAACCACTTTGAGAATGCCTGATTTGTAATGGTTTTAGAGCTAGCCATTCTTTACGCAATGACAGAAACGGGTTCTGTGAGCAATTGACGGCTTTTAATTATTAAAATAAAACGCAGGACGAGGGTGAACGGGTTGAAACACATGAATTGTGCAACAATGAAATAACCTACCATACTGATCGATCGATCGATGGCTTCCTAGAGATGATGAAGTCATCTGGATGTTAATGGCGATTTGTTTGGTATTACACATCAAGGATGTTTCGTGAGTTTTCGAAATCCCTTTTTGCAATTATTGCAAACGTTTCAAGGTCAATAACGCAACGCTGTCGGCGGAGAATAGAACTTGCCTTTATATATGCAAACCTATGACTAATTGTCACACTTTGGAAAAGGATTGTTTGTGAATGGTTCCATATATTTCGCAGTCAAATGAACAGCTGTCACACAATCAATGAATCATGTAGGCGCACTCCTCGGAATTTCTCTGAGGCACCAAACAAATATGGTGACAAACACCTGATTTAGTAGTGTCAAACTGAGTAAAGTTTCACGCATTCAAAGTTGAAAGAAATGAAAGGATTGTGATTCCAATCTGTTATTTTGATGTGTCGCAATGCTGCAATCAAAACAATTTTGTATTTACTACGGTCGGTGTAAGTCTAATAGACTTCACTTGAGAAAACGGCGACCACTTCCATTTCTGATCAGCTTTTTGATCCGAATAAGATAGTATTTTGTATATTTATATCGTATGAATATCTCAATGATAGATATTTTCAAACCATGGTTATTCCTGGAGGTTCTTTAAGAACGATATGCTACGAGATCGGAAGTTGCAACCCATTCTCTACATTCCCGTCGGACTCTCTAAACCTTAATGGTAACCTTTTGTGACCTCAGCCAAATATCTGGGTGTCATTGTCGATAATATTCTTCGGTGGTCGACAAACATTCAGAACCGTCTGGGTACACATCCGCGCCCCTCCTTTCAGCTCCGAAAGCTCAGACAATTTCGCATTCCTCAACAAGTTTTGTTTTCTTCTGTTAAACAATGCGTTCTCTCGATTTTACTTTACTGCACCCCTGTAGTGTTTCCCGGTCTATTAAAACCAGACTTTGAAACTGTCCGTCATGGATTAATGATATTAAGCTGTGCATCTTTAATTTTTGTCGATTCATTAATCACAGAACTTATTATTGGTCGTATGAAGTTTCGCCTGACCTTTACCAATATGATTCTAAACGACCCCGCCCATCCTTTGCATTTTGACTTATCTTCTTGTCGCTCCCACTCGATCACTCGTTCATCTTATCAGTACCTGCCCTCCCGAATAAACATTTTTTTAAAACTCCACTGTGCCGTATCTGGTTTGCATCTTGACCAACAAGGAACGAGTTTTAAATGAATTACGTCAATCTTTAATTGAATGAATCAAACTTTAGAGACATTTATGTTTTTGCACAGCACTCCATTGAATTTTTTTATACTTCCATATTTTCTCCGGTGTGACGACCAGTGTACAATTTGTAACTGATATGTAAGCCTACCTCAGCTTGCAAAGTTATACTAATAAAATACAAAAATAACTAAACATACTAATTCCTTTCAGAGGTAATTACAAACGTAATCGCCTAATGGAAGCATAGTTTGGATGTTGGGTTACATGTTTCTTGTATTCCGGTTGTCCATAGGAGTTGATCACCTAACCCTTTTTCTGGCGACTACTACAAATAAACTGCAGTTCCTCGATTTCTTTTAGTTAAACTATTTGTTCGTTCATGATTGGCAAGCTGGATAGGTAGGCAGGTTAGGCAGTTTGCTCACGGGATTGCAAAATGCGAGCCAGCCAGGACGAATGCGTGAACTTTAGCCAGTGCGTTTACGGCAAACTATCGTGGGCGTAGAAATTACGTGAAAGAATAAGCATTCATATTCATGTACTAAGTGCTCCCTACCCCATCAAGTTATCCTACCTTGTAGCAATCGACTCGCTAGCCTCTATGAATCTGAAATGAACAAAAACTCCTTCGATGCGTTCCAACTACCCCAGATCGAGTTTGACCCAGGCCCCCAAACTATTCATGACCCTTCGCATGACATCTCGACATAAAGTGCAGTTTTGTTACCCCCATATTCTTTTCCTCTCCCGCTGTTCGCAATTTCTCTCGTTCTTTTTTGACCCCTGAAATCCAACGCATTATGCATCTTCCCCAATCGCAGCATAAACTCATTGACATTAAAACACCACCCCACTTGTGCCGAGACATTTTCTGTGCATTTGTTTCTTAGGCATTAGTCAGACTAACTTTTGTTTAAAGTTAGTTTACTTGACAATCACATTGCCCTGCCACTTTTACCACTGAGAACCGATAATAATATTCTCATTTTACGTTCTGATTCGTGACGACGAATAATGGGAAAAGGATAGCTTTAGCGATATTAGTTGCAAACACGGAGTCAACACAAATCGCACACAATGTACAACACACCTGAAAAGCGAACGCAGTTAAACGCTGAGTCAATCCGCTGTGAACTAGACACGGGGAACAATCCATCAAAAACCTACCGATAGGTCAATTGGTTCAGCTCTTGACGGCCGACATGAACAAAACAATTGGCCAGTCATTTACAGATTTTCATTGTGACTTGACTTAAATGTACTTTAAGTCCTACGTACCAAAATTGATCTGTTGACGATAGATTTATCGTGATATCTCATTTATCTCCCTCAAGTTACAGAGTAAGTTACTCCCTAAATTAAACGAGCGGGAATATGTGTGACTAGCGAACACCAAAAGAGAACACAAAACTGTTCGATTTGATGACAACTGAGTTCAATAGTTCTGTAGACGAGGGACCAGCTTCTCACAACAATGAAGATAATAGTAATACAGATTTCCAGGATTATAAGACCGAAATAAACTCATGTTCATATAGAGACTGAACGTATAGAAACCGTGTTCGATCCGGGGTATGTGCAATACACGAAAATCGTAACTGATCGCCAGTATAAACATGGTAAAACAAAGAAATAGTTACTCACACGAAATGTGAACCCATCCTGTTTTTCTCGATCCAATGGAGTATAGAGCCGCAATGTCCCGTTTCTGCTGTTCAGTTTGAAATACCTTTGTGCGGTACCCTGGGTTGCGAGAAAGGAGTGAAGACAAAAAAGGAAATCCAGAGAATTAGATCTACCGTAACATAAGCTCGGTTAGTATACACTCGACAATCGGAAAAGTGCCATTCCCTCATCAGCATTCTATCATTTGAGTTAACAAAACAATCCCAACTTAAATAACCTGGTTGATTTAAAGCAATACAGTGCATTCCTGACATTTGCGTGATTCCAAGTTTCAGGGGAAATTGGCCAAAATGTTATGATTCCGGAATTGAAGCAATAGTGTAAAA